ATCAGGTAGCCAGCTTACAGGTACATTCTGGAAAGCTTAACAGAAGAACACAAAGATGGAAACTGGACGTCCCAGGAACTCCAGGGGCGACCCGGCCTGCTGCCTGGTCTCACTTACCGTCTTCCCCATCTTCTAGGCAGATTTTTTGAAAGGACTGCCCGTCTACAACAAAAGCAATTTTAGTCGATTTCATGCGGACTCTGTGTGCAAAGCTTCGGTGAGTGCGTGCTCTGGGTACTGGACATGGTCGGGGAGCTGCCAGGGGGAAGGGGGGATGTGTACACCCCATTGGGGTCTCACCAGGAACAGAGGCTGGTCTTTAAGCCCGGGCCCACCTGACACCTTTGCATGCTGTTGTGCCTTCCTTGCAGGGTGTGTGCCCGGGTGAGGGGTGAAGGGGGCCCCCGTTAACCTACTGGCTCTCCTCACCCATGTCTTCCCAACTCTCTTGCAGAACCGACGTCCCTCAGTCTACCTGCCCACCCGGGAGTACCCATCTGAACAGAGTAAGCGGCCTCTGTCAGTCTGTCTCAACCTGGCTGCGAGGGGAAGGGCCGCAGGGCAGTGCGGGTCGTGAGCCACGGGGTAGTGGGAAGCCCGCATGCTGGCATCCGCATCAGCCCCAGGGGGGTGCGCAGTAGCCCTCAGCTGCTGCTCACCAGCGCTCTCCCCTTTGTCTCCCGTAAGTTTGGGTGTCCCCTGCCAGCACTGTGTCACAGACCCCGAGACGACTGTACTGTGGGAGGGGATCCTGCCCAGCCTCGGGTATGCAGTACAGGGAGGTGGGCGCATCCAGGTGGGGGGCGTCTGCCAAGAAAGGTGCAGAGCCTGCCGAGCAGGAGGACCCCAGCATTATTGTGGTTTTGGGTTTTTATTTGAATGGTGGCAGAGAAGCTACGTGGATCCTGCATGGCGGGTTCTGTGGTCACTGGGGCACAGCTGTAGAGATCCGTGTTCCTGGTCTGCCTGGACCGTGTGCTGGGGCTCATTCACCCGCTGGGGCTGGACTTCCACATGTGGCAGAAGCTTTGGTCTCTCCCAAGCAAGCAGGGGCCCAGGTGGAGCAGCTGGCTTGGGCCCCTGGTAGTAGCTGTGTACTTGGGAGCAGAAACACTAGGCTTCCCGAAATCCTCTGTGCTGGGGGTGTAGACTTGGAGCCGCATCCAGGGCACGCAGGGCAGAGATGGGCGGGAGACAAGGGAGGGATGAGAACCTGTCCTGGGAGGTGCAGTGCAGGCCTGGGTCGGGGTTGGGTCACCTGAGGCCTCTTCCTGCAACTTCCTCTGCCTTTTCTCCTCAGTCATTGTGACAGAAAAGACAAACATCCTTTTGCGCTATTTACATCAGCAATGGGACAAAAAGGTAAGGCATGTGGGGTCAGGTGCTAGAACTTGTGGGGACTGTGGTGGCCAGCAGGGGGGCGCTGAGTTGGGGAAGGACACAGGTGACTGGAAGACCAGGTGTTTGAGGGCAGAATTGGACTTGGCCAGGCCCCAGGGGAGGGAAGAGTGTTTCAGAGGAGTGCGTGGCGAGCAGAGGCTGTGGGGTTCTGGTGCTCAGGGTTGGACTGGGACTTGTCCGGTGGCACTGGGGCCCGGAGAGCACTGAGGCTTGGCTGCCCACAGCCTGCCCATGCGGCCTTGGTGGCGGGTGGACCTGTGCATTATTACCTAGAGTCTTTGTTCAGTGCTGGAACGTCCACATGGTGACAATTCTAGGGGATACAGATCGGGGCAGAGGCAGTGAGAAGCCGTACCCCCATCCCCCCTGTGAGGCTGCCTTTCTGACACAGGACATTTTTTTCATTGTGTTTCTTTTTTCTTTTTTAAAGATTTTACATATTTATGTGAGAGAGAGGGAAAGCGAGAGAAAGCATGAGCGGGGAAGGGGGAGAGGAAGAAGCAGAAGCAGGCTCCTGGCTGAGTAGAGAGTTGGGTGCTGGGCTCGATCCCAGGACCCTGAGATCATGACCTGAGCCGAAGGCAGATGCTTAACCGACTGAGCCACCCAGGGGCCCCCATTTTTTCTTTTTCTTGAATGGAGATGTGCGTATGTTCCGCATCATAGTCAGTTTGGGGGTTTTTTGCCTAACATTGAACGTCAGGCAGTGACCTGCTTTGGGCCAGGCTGGAGGGGGGCTCCATGATGAAGTGACTGCTGAGCCTTCCTTGTCCTCCTGCCCCACCCCCACAGACCTTGCTTCCCACCGGCGGGTGGAGGGGGCAGTTTCCAACACAGGCTCTTCTTTGGCAATGCACATTCCCCCTGGGTGGCTCCTGAGTGCTTTTTACCACCACCGCCCCAGCAGGGCAGCTTTCTTCTCCAGGCATTTTGGATGGTGTGTGGGTCGTTGCCAGCAGTGGGGACTCCTCACGGTGCCCAGGAAATGCCTGGCAGTCTCAGGCCGGTGGCCCCAAAGACTGTGGCTGAGTCCGGGAGGTGTGGCTAGCAGGGGGATCCCGGGTTGACTGCCCCACTCCAGGCCCAGCAGCAGGATTTCAGGGGCTCACCCAAGTGAAGACTGACACCCCCTCTCCTTCCCCTTCCTCACAGAACGCCGCCAAGAAGAGAGACCAGGAGCAAGTGGACCTTGAGGGTGAGAGCTCGGCACCCCCCCGCAAGGTCGCACGGACCGACAGCCCGGACATGCACGAGGACACTTAAGACTCTCACTCCCCCACAGGCGCCTCCTGTCTTGTCTGCTCCTCGCCCGCCCGCCTTGTGTAAGCGCCCCCACCCTGCCCCCACCGCCCACCCACACCCGACCATCCACACCACTTCCAGCCTCACAGGAGCCGATGTATTTATTTTCCTCGAGTTTTTATTTATGCTGTAAAATGTACCGAGCGATGGGAAAAGGGGACGTCAGACCCAGTAGTGTGATGTTGGTAGATGCTTTTTAAAAAACATTGTTATTCACAACCCCACCCCCACCCCCAGATTCCCCTTTCTGCCCCCAACCCCCTCCACCCCAGTTTTCCTCCGGAAAAACCAGAGCGTGTCTGCACGGGTCTAGAGCCGGGGCCCTGCTGTAGCCTGGCAGCATGGGTGGGAGCCCTTCTCCCCACTCCTACTGTCCAGTCCGGGCCTTGAAGACTCGGCTGGGACCTATTCCGTGCCCAGGCTTTGCTCTGAAATGTGTGCCAGGGGGAGAAGTCGGCATTTCCGGATCTTTCTCTTAAGTCATTTTATCATGGACTAGTGCGCGCTCCGTGTCACCCCAATAAAAGGATCTTTCCTACTCGACCTCGCGTCTTTGCTCCGTGTGCCTCAGCCCCAGAGGACGGAGCTACTGAGAGTCGTCTCGTCATCACCAAGAGGAGCCAAGAAGGGCCCCCCACGTGCCAGGGCACTGCGACCCACTGGATTCTCTCCTGGGCTTGCTGTGGCCACCTCACTCAGAGCCAAGACCTGCCCGGACCCACCCCCATGCCTCACCTGTCAAGGTGTCCCGGAGGACCAGGACACCCCTGAGAGATGTCCATGTCGCCAAGGACATAGCTGTGGTCAACCCCACGCCCTGGATGCCTTGGGTCAGGGTGGCATGCCCACCAGCCCCTGTGGAGACAGCCCAGGTGGCCCGGCCTCAAGTGCCCCTGGTTCAGAGACAGGCACGTGGAGCTGCAAGGAACACCGGCCCAGGGGCTGTTGTTCAGCGAGTTACACAGCCACTTGTGGGCTGTCAGTTAGGCTGGGTTTGGGCCCGAGTTTGGAGACGTAGGGGGCATTCAGGCTCCAGGCAGAAGGTTTGTGCCTTCAGACACTGGGCCTGGGGTCAGGGGGAACACTGTTCCTCCCCTCCCCCGCCCCATGCCAGCCCTAAGTGGGGGCCATGGTCTGGGAGCTGAGTGCTGTGGCTTTGGGGGATCTAGGGAGGTTGGGCCATAGAGCTGGAAGGAACACCAGGCCTTAGGGGGCGCCGACCCCACATTATCACTGTGGAGCTCCCTGCCTGAGCAAGACTGCTCTGGCCTGGGCCACCCAGCACCTCCCAGGGTGGAACGTTCTGTTACTCACCACCTAACTGTGCTGTGGGGCCAAGGGGCTTTTCCTCCCAGGTGTGGGTGGTATTTACACTTGTGTTGAGTCCCTGTGGTCACAAGGCAGATGCTCACGAAATACAAGCGGACATGGTGCTGCGGTGGGCTGAGTCCCCAGAGGCTCTCAGACGCTTTGGAACCCTCAGTCCCAGAGGCTGGTCTGCCCCTTGGCAGGCATGTGATGTTGCTGAGGATTAGTGAGTACAGTCAGCTTCAAAGGCCACAGGACAGTGGGAGCAGGGAGCAGGTGGCACCCCTGCCCTCATCTCTCTGGCCCTGGTCTCCCCTTGAGGGACTGAGTTTATCTGTCAGGGACATCCATGGCTCAGGCAGGGGTCCCATGGCCAGAGCCCACTGAGGTCTCCCGAGAGCCAGCCTTTGCCCACCTCTCCTGCCTTTAGGCCTGCCCCCTTACTCCTCTGCTCCCTCAGACACCAAACTCAGCCTTCCCACACCTCTGTGCCTTTGCACAGGCTGCTCTCCTGCCTCCAGTGAACCCTGGTTTCTCTTTCACAGCCCTCTGAAGTGCCCCTTCCTCAAACTGGCTCCCCTGGGCTCCTCCAGCCACGGGGCTGGGCCTATCAGCCTCTGAGCCTTTGGCTGTGGATGTGCTTGAGTGGGGGAGGGGTCGCGTCCCACTCCTGACCACACAACAAGGAGTCCCAGCGAATCCCAGCAACTCGGGTCTGATAGTGGTCCCACAGTGGGGCATCCCAGCCACTCCCCAGTGTCATCCCTAAAAGTGCCATCCCCTCAACATCCAGACTCCAGTGCCAGGTGCCTTCTGATTTTCATACACCAAGTTTTTTCCACCGCGTGTGACTCTTCAGATGGCAGCCTGGGCGGGGCGGGGTGGGGGGACAGTTATGCCAGAAAGTCAGGCCAAGAGGACTGTCACCTCAATCACCCTGCAGGGCCAAGGCCAATTCAGGACCCAGGCCCCACACCCAAACTGCTGCATCTTTTCAACACTTGGAGATTTCTTCCTTTGTCTAGGAGGCTGACGCCAGGGCCTGAGGCTCTGTGGCTCCTCCCAGGGGCCCCAGGCCTGGAGTCAGCCCCCAAATCTGGGCCGACTCAGAGTTGGTGCGGTCTGGAGTTTTCCATCTGTGGCCTCAAGACCCAGTTCTTAGGAGGAGGCCCCTAAGGGTCAGAGGATGGGAGGGGCCCCCACCCTAGGCCTGCTAGGTCCCCCAAAAGCCAGCACCAACTACAAGTAACTGGGCCCCCTCGATTCCCCTTCCACTGCTCTGTCCTCGGGCACTGTTGAAATATACTTTTTATTGCATTTCTGCCGTTTTACAAAAATATGACAAAATAAATTAAAAACAAATAAATAATCGCCTATTCTGTGTGTTTTCTGTTGGTTTTTTGGGGTTTCCTTTCGTTTTCCCCATCCGGGTCTAAAGGAAAACGGCAGATGGGGGGCCCGGCCCCCAGCCCTGCCCCAGGAGAGCAGCCAATACTGGGGGCCGTCGGGCCGAAGCGTGTTTTCTGGGTGGCGGCCGCCGCCCGGGTCCACGGAACTGCTATTGCATATGAGAACAGGAAGGCAGGGCGGGCGGGTGGAGCTAATGCCAGCCGCTGGGCCAGCACACGGCCTGGGGACTGGGGCTGGGGCTGGGCGAGGGCGCCGGGGGCTCGGTGGGCTCGGAGGTGGGCGGCGGGGGCGGGAGGCTGTAGAAGCTGGCGTCCCCCGGCAGGGGCTGCGGGGCTGGCGGGGGCCCGGCGAGGGCGCAGGGCGGGCACTCGGCAGCGACGGGGGCGGGTGCCTGACGGGGGGCGGTGCCCTCGCCCCCGCAGCCCCATGGCCCGTCCCACTGCCAGCAGCCTGCGGGCGGTGTCGGGGGCCGGGGCAGCGGCGTTGGCGGTGGCGCGGGGCTCCGGCTGCGGCGGGTGCGGAGGGCAGGGGCGCCCACGGGGGCCAGCGCTGTCCCTGCGGAGGCGAGAGGGGCCGTTCCGGGGGGTTGCCGCCCCCGCCGCCGGACCCCGCTCAGACCCTGCCCGCGCTCCCTCCCGGGCTTCCAGGCACATCGAGGGCCTTATTGCTTCTGATCAGTGACAAGGGGTGGGCGTCTTCGGGTGCATCCCCTGCCTCTGGGCACTGGGCCCCTCCCCATCATGGGGAGAGGACAGTCTGAGGAAGTCCCTCTGATTTCTGACCTGTGTCCCTGGTGCTGCAGCTGCCACCTCTTGGGCTCCCTGGGGGATGAGCTGCTGGAGCCTGGGGCTCGGTGGGGCTGGGGTGGGGACCCACAAGGTGGGGATGGGTGGCGTGAGGCTGGCACCTCTGCTCAGCACGGATATGGGTGCAGCCTGTGGCCGAGCACCCCAAGCTCCCCGAAGGGGCAGCTCCAGCCCCCACCTCCAAGGAAGGCCTCCTTGAACAGCTGGGCTGCAGGGTGAGGACTTGCATAGAGGCCTGGAGGGGGTCCAGTCCCCCCCCAGAGTGAGCTGGGTATGGGGTTCTCATAGGGGCAGGAGAGGAGGCTGGGCCAGGTGGTGAAGCCCCTTTCATCTCCTCTCCTGGCCCCAGAGCTCGGTGGGCAGGGTGCCCTGGGAGGGGCACAGGGTCAGGGGGCTTTGGCTACCGGGAACCTGGAGACACTGAGCAGGCTTTGACTTGAGAGACTCCACGTACCCAGGCTCCCAACCGGTACCAGAGACCGGGCCTCCTCTGTCCCCTTCACCCCTCTCCCCAGGCCTGGCCATCCCATCCCTCCCCGCAAAACCCGGCCCAGAGTCCCCACCCCCGAGTTAAAGCTTGTGACCTGAGCCTTCCTCTTCAGGCCGGGGGGCGTCCGGCTCCTCAGCCGCAGCCTCGTCTGCCGGCCCACTCCGCTGGGCTCGGCCTCCGCCGCCGCCGCCGCTGCCGCCGGGGGTCCCGTCCAGCCGGGCCTGCCCACCTGCCCCGTTGGACCCGCTGTCAGCCCGGGCCCCGCCGAAAGGGAAGAGCTTGCCAGCGTGGAAGGCCTTGGGCGGTGAGTGGCTGCGCTCTGGGTCCCGCCGGGTCTCAGGCGACTTGAGGAACTTGAAGCTGAGGAAGGCTGGCAGGCGGGTGTCACTCCCCGTGGGTGACTGGGCAGGGGGTGGCCGGGCGGCAGGGCCGGCCCCCGCACTGGCCAGTGAGGATGTTGCCCCAGATGACAGGAACTTGCCCTGCAGCGGGATGATCTGCTTCAGCTTCATGACGTTGTTGGGTGCCAGCAAGGACCCCGGGCGCTTGGGCCGCTCTTGCCCGTGGCCACCCGTCCCGCTGCCCTTGGCCTTGGTGGAGGCCTTCTCAGGGGCAGCGGGGTCCAGCCCAGAGCCTTCCGGCCGGGCCTCCTCCCGGCCGCCGGCATCGCGCTCTCGCCGGGCATGGTGCTCTGCATGGCGCTGGCGCTCCTCCTCCTCCCTCCTCCGCCGCTGCTGCTGCTGGTAGCGGTGCTGGGCCTGGCGTTCGTGTCTCTGCGGGCAGAGTAGAGCCATTATAGGGACTGGGCAGAGAGGGTGTGTGAGCCGGAGCCAGCTGAGGTTCCAGGCCCCCGCAGGTGCTCTCTGCAGGAGTGGGGAGAGGTCCAAGCACATACTGGGCACCAGCTGTACCCCTGGGCCCACCCGGAGGCTCTCTGAGAAAGTATGGAGACATCTAACCACTTATTAGGCACCAACTGCATTCCTGGATCCATGCCAGTGGTTTCTGAGAACCGACAAGAGAACGGGGACATTACTGGCCACCAACTCTGTCCCCAGCCATGTGTGAGGGCACAGTCTTAAGAACTGGGAGAATGTAAACACATCTTGGGCCTCAACAGTTCTCCACTTTCTGGAGAACCAGTGACAGATCGAGTCATGACTGACGCATACCAGCGTCCGCCCTGGCCAGTCCAGGAGCCACACGTGGCTTTGTCAATGCCAATTTAAGTAATTAAAATGAAATAAAATAAGACTTCCGTCTCTCGGTTGTACCAGCCCCCATCTCAAGTGGCCAACGCCCGCCCGGAGCAAGAAGCCACAGTGCAGACACAGAACGTTTCCATGACCACGGAGAGCGCCGCCTGGCGCTGGTGAGCTCCTTGGCCCACTCTGCAGCTTTCTGGGGAATGTGGCAGAAGCTGGGCTTCTAGGAAGCATCAGCCTTGTCCCTGGCCCCAAACAGGGCACTGCCGGCGAGCTGGCGATGACTAAGGGTTCACAAGTGCCAGCCCGGTGCTGGATGCCACCAGGGATCCCAGGGACGGAGCGGCCCCGGCGGCATGCTCATTATTCCCTGGGGCCCCGCCCTTCTTCTCCTTCCGCTCAGCGGCTGGCTGGCGGCTGGTGGCCAGCCCGGCAAGGCTGAGAAGCCCCGCTGAGAGCGGGCAGCAACCCAGCCCAGTCCCACACCCGCGTACCTTGAAGGCCTCCCGGCGCTGGTACTCAAGCTTGGCCATCTCCTCGGCTACCCAGCCCGGGATGTCAGGGATGGCCACGTGGATGAGATACTTGAGGAGCAGGGCAAAGTGCTGAGGCGACAGAGGGAGAGGCTGCAGGCTCGGGGACGCCCTGCTGCCCCCCAGCTCCTCCACCCAGTCACCAGCCCCACCTCGAGCACCACCACGGACACGATGGCCGCCTCCGGGCTGAGCCAGGGGAAGAGGCGCTGCAGCTGCCCGCACTGGCCAATCAGGTAGCAGTTGACCACGATGGCCAGGACCCCCATGGCCTCCATCACCTTCTGCAGGGGCACACAGGAGTGGGGCGGGGCAGGGGGCGGGGCTCAGGTGGGGTCTGGCCACCCTGCCTGGGCCTCCCGCTTCTCCCCAGCGCCCCCACCCCCGAACTGCCTCCGGGCCTGGGCTCTGGCGCTCCCCACACCTGCCACTGGCCGATGCTCTCCACCCGCTGCCCGAAGGGCCGCTGTAGCCCTGTGCACAGCTTGAGGGCATCGCTCCGGATCTCAATGAGGTTGTTGACCAGGGCGCACAGAGCAGCCAGGGGGAAGGCAGACGAGAAGAGGACGACGTAGCCGAACTGCACGAACATCTCCTGGTAGTCCTGGAAGGTGTCCTGCAGGCGGGTGCCTGGGTGTGGCCTTGGTCCCCCTCCCTCAGACCCAGATGCCTCCTACCTCCGACTACCCTCTTCTCTCAAGCCTGCCTCCCACCCTCCAATTCTCCTGAAGGGACCCAGAGCTCCCCATCCACCAAGTTCCCAACCACATCGGGGGCCCCATTTTATCACGCCCCCTAGATCACTCCTCAGGCCACGTGCCCTGCCCCCCCCCACGGGCCTGGCCTTGCGCCTCCGATGCACCCTCCTCACCTCGTACTTCTTCATACAGCTCTCAAGCTCGGCCTGGGTGAGCTGGGGTGAGTGCTCCTCCTCCGGTGGGTCAATCCAAGACGACCGATTCTGCCGCCGCTGCCTCCGGCCTGAGTCACCCGAGCCAGGCTCTGGGTCTGGGCCCCCATCTGGCCCCTGGTCACGGCCCTCGCCCCCAGCCCGGCGGAGCAGGACGGCCGGGGGCTCCCGCTCAGGACTGCTGGGAGCCCCTTCAGCCTCGTCGTCTTCTTCGGCCAGCGTGAATACTCCCGGCTCCAGCCCCTTCTCCACCATAGTGGGGCTCCCCTCCTCCAGGATGGCCTCGGGGCCAGGCCGCCGCCGCCCCGCCGCTCGTTCAGCAAAGCTGACCTTCTTCAGCCGGAGCCCACAGTCCAGGAGGCTGCTCTCCTCGCCCTCCTCCTCATCATCTTCCTCATCCTCCTCTTCCTCCTCCTCCTCGTCCTCGTCCTCCTTGCCCCCCCGAGACCCATCCCCCACCTCCCCCCCTTCCCCTGCGGGCCTCCGTTCCACTGGTGCCTCCTCCTCCTCCTCGGGGGCCCCGCAGCCCCCACTGAGACACCTACGGCCTCCGCCACCACCACCACCACCCCCCTCTTCAGCCTGGGGTTCAAGGCGACGGGGTGCGGGGCGCTGGAGGCTCAGCAGGCCGAGCAGGGCACGGGCCAGCTCCCAGGCTGCCTGCAGGCCGAGCTCGCCGCGGCCCAGCCGCCGGTACAGGTGCGGCTGCAGGACCTCGCGCACGTTCTGGAGGAACTGGCGGGTGATCAGCAGAGTGGCCAGCATCTGGGGGCAGGAAGGGGGAGGAGAGAGGCCACGTGGGGCGCAGGCAGGGCCCGGGGACACCGGGGGCAGGCTGTGGGGACTAGGGAGCCGCCCTCCAGGAGCAAGTTGCCAGACACATGCCCCGAACCCAATTGCTGTCTCCACCCCATTTAATGAGGTCCCTGGACATGGCGGCCCCAGCAGCAACCTCTGCAGCCTCTCCCACCAACTGGAGCCCGGCAGGCTGCAGTGCTCCGAGCCAACCTCCTGGGATTGCAATGCACGTTTCCACCCTGCTGGGGCTCAGGGTCCCCCTGCTTGGAGCACTGCCCAGGAGCTCAGCTGGGGCCCAGGGCCTCGAGGGACCCCTGCTATCTGCACCCCATCAGCAGAGCCCGCCCCTTGGAACATGCACCCTTGGCTCAGGCAGCGCGAGGCCCCAAGCACAGCCACACTGCCCGCCCTGGCGAGGCCCCGTGGGCTCGCCATCTGCCCATACTTTGGCCCGGGCCACGAGCAGGAGGCCCCGGAGGGAGAGGAGGAGCAGGCGGAACCGCAGGGCCGCGAGCGGGACCAGCACCGCCCGAAGCTGCCGCTCGAGGCTCTGGGACAGGGACAGGACGAGCAGGAGCTGTGGAGGGACCGACGGACAGGTGGACAGACAGATGGGGGAACGACAGGCAGAGAGAGGACACATGGACGAACGGACGGACGGACAGAGAGAGAAGGATGGAGGAGGGGGGGGAGGGGCTGGAGAGCCCGTGGACCCCTTGGGTGGACAAGTCCGGCCCCCCTTGGCCACCACTGTGGTGGGGGGCTCTGCCTTGGGCTGGGGTCTCACCTCTTTCAAGCGCTCCATGTCCTTGAGGTAGAAGCCGATGTAGAAGAGGCTCAGGTAGGAGTTGACAAACTGGAACTGTGGGAAGGAAGCAGGAGGGCAGTCCCTCTGCCACCCCCATCCCCAGGAGCCCCTCCTATGCCCCACGCAGAGCCCTTGCTGCCTGCCTGCTGGCTGCCACTCACCAGGACGACTTTGATAATGAGGTGCTTCTCATAGGCGCTCTCCAGCCGGTAATTCTCTGGGGGCCGAGGGGGTGAGTGAGGAGGCAGCCCGGGCCCCCTGAAGGCAGCGGGGGCCCTGAAGGGCAGTAGGGACCTTCCTCCCCAGGGCAGCAGGCCCTCCCCTTGCAGGGCGTACCCATGTCGTTGAGCCAGATGGCGAGCTTCTTATAGCCCTCAGCACTGGCGCTGACCAGCAGGGCCAGCACAACCTTGGGCAGGAAGCGGGCAAGACGGGGCAGCCCTTTCACGCTCAGCACCAGCTCCTGTAGGGACGGGGGTTCACCAGTCACCCTGGCATCTAGGCACAGCCCGGAGTGGTCCTGGGCCAGCGGCGGCCAGGTCAGGGCCAAGGCCAGGGCTGGGGACCGGAGGTCACCTGCAGCTGGAAGCAGCCGAGCATGAGTAGGAACACGCAGGCCAGGCAGGTGAGGCACAAGGGGAGGCTCACGAGCAGCTGGAAGAGCAGCCGCTTCCAGGGCGGGTAGTAGAACTCCTCAGCCCTTGTCACGGGGCTAATGCGCCGGACACCCTGGCAGAGGGTGGGGGTGGGGCACAGCGTGAGGCCAGAGGGGCTGCCCCTGTCCCCACACAGCCTTCCCAAGGCCCCTGAGTTCTGTTTCCCTCCACCATGCCTCTTTCGGGGTGCCCCCCAAGTCCACTTTCCCCAGCCCCTCAAATGCAGTTTCCCACACCTCTTCTTCAGGGCATGCAGAGCCCCCCACCTGGCATACCCTCTCTGATGCTGCAGCCCTATTTTACACCTTGTCTTTGCCCCTGCAGTGCCCCCCACCCCCTGCCTCCCCCTCTCATTCTTGGAGTCCTTGGACTCACGCACCCCGACTGACCCTGAACTGAGGTCGTGGTTCCTCCACAGCTTCCCCAGGTGAGTCCAGCGTCCCCCACTTGTAGGCCAGCTCTGCTCCCCTCCGTTTCCATTCCTCCAAGAACAGGGTTGACCAGACCACGTTGAAGAGGGCAAAAACCACACACGATACATCCCGGCTTGTCTGGGGATGGTGGAAGGCTGAGTTGTTGGCCAGGTTGGCCCAGGGAGGAGGGTGTCTCAGGCACTCCAGCCCCAGCCCAGCCCACCCCCAGCACCTGGTCAGCCTCCGTAAATGTGTACAGGACGGAGCCAAAGACGGCTGGGTATACCATCGCTGATGTGTAGAAGCCCAGCCAGGCAAAGTACATGGCAATCTTCACTCCAAAGTAGTCACAGATCTCATCTGCCAGGAGCACAGGGCGGGGTCCCAGTCAGCCCTGCCCACTTCCTGAGACTCCCACACACCCTCGACCTGGGGCCGCACCTAGAGGCTGGTTTTCACACACAGCTTGCACCCATGACTTCATGAGGCGGTTCAGGATACGCTGCTCGTGGACCGGGAACACCTGCTGGATGATGCCACGGGCCGCCAGCTCAGGGACTGTTGGGGGACAAGAGCAGTTGAGCCCCACCCTTCTGCCTGGGCCTGGCCTGGCCAGTTCCCCACCCTCAGCCCCTGCGCCGGCCGAAACCCAAGTCACAGTTTTTCCCTGCTTTTCAATCTTCAGAGGCTCTTTCCAGGGGAGGAATTTTAAGTGGGCAGGATATCTGGTTCTCCTTCAGAACTTCGGAGGTGCAGAGACAGCTAGGAGAGGGTGCAGGAATCCATCTGGGAGGGTGGGGTCCCAGTGTGGAACCTCGTTTTTAAATAAAGCCATTTGGCCTCAGTTCACTGCTCTGAACCTCTGAGGAATGGTGCAAAGCTGGCGTCAGAAGGTGAACTTGCAGCAGCTGGTCTCTTGGAGAGGAAACTGAGGCCCAGGGCCTCACCACACAGGGCATGGAGTGCTGTCCATGGTCCTGCCCCTACCTAATCCCAGACCCAGACAACGGTTTCTCTTGGAAGGGCTTCCGGGGCGTAAGCCCCACCCCTAGGCTAAGGCCACACCCCCCTCACCACATTGATTGATGTCTCCAGGTCCCACCCCACTCTTCCCTAGCTTTTTTGGTCTGTTGTCTCTAGGCTCCACCCTCTCGCACTGATAGGCTGTATTCTAAGAGCCCCTCCCAACTCCCCACGTGTGATTGGAGATTGGTCCCGCCTGCTTACTGATTGGCTGGTCCTCCAGAAAGCGCACATTGTGCAGTGCCTCACCCTGCTTCGCGCGTAGGTTCTGCAGCCAAAAGCGGATGATGCTCTGGCGTTCCTGCGCGGAACAGGGCAGGGCTTGAGCACAGGGAGCAGCAGCCCAAGCGCTAGGGGTGCGGACTGGGAGCCAGAGCTGGTCGCACCTGGGAGGTGAAGAAGCGCAGCTCACTCTCCACATTCTCGTAGATGAAGTCCTCCTCGCAAGAGAAGCCTCGGGTGCCCCCGCCAAACTCGGCCTTCACCGCTTTGCGCAAACCCAGCTCGTCGGCTCCTCGAAGTAGGCTGCCAGGAAGACACGGAGGTGGGTCATGGGGAGACCCTGGCTCACCATCCTGGAGCTAGGGATGGTGTACTCGGCGGCCACCTGGGACATACGCAGGGCGCTACACCTCACAGTTGATGCTCGGAAAGGCGGGGGAGCTGGGTAGCAGGATCAGCGAGAGTCCAGGGACAGAGACTCGCCTCTCATACGTGGCGGTGACGAAGAAGGCATAGGCACGCGTGTGGCGGTGGTGGCGGACTTGCACGATGAGCTCAGGGATGCCCACGCGGATGTGGTTCAGCAGCCATAGCAGCGTGTGGTCATCAGTCGTGTCTGCCAAGGGGCACAGGGACTGATGGCCCTTGCCACAAGAGGTCCGAGGCCTCTTACAGACGCCTACTCAGGGGAGCCCAGCTCAAGGGAGCCCATCTGGGCACTAGGCAGGCGGCGGGCACAGGTACCTGGAAAGGTCATCAGGACGTCGCAGTTCTCTGTAGGCACTGTCTTCATCCACGCCTTGTGGGATACCAGGTAGCGACCAGCCTGCAGGAGCCGCTTCCCAAAAAGCTTATCTAGGGGGCAGGCAGGGCAGGGCCCAGGTCAGGCCACTCCCAGACCAAGACCCCAGCCTCTAGTGTAGTACCTCCAGTCCTAACCCCTGCTCGCACGCACACTCGCCACGGCTCCTCTGCACTGAGTCTGGCATCTAGGGACCTGCAAGGTTTGGCCTCAGCTTGTTTCCTTCCCTCCACGTCCTTGCACCAGCCAGGCCCTCCTCCAGGAATGCCCTTCCCCCAGGTCCTCCCTTACAAATCTTACTCATTCTTGAGGCCCAGCTCCGCCTCCAAACCCACAATCGATGGGGCGCTCACTAGCAGCCCCGAGCGAGCGAGCGCTTCACCACATCATGTCAGCGTGTCCTCATAGCTGGGCTTGGTTCTTACCCCCATTTCACAGGTGAGGAAACTGAGAACCAGGGCGTTTAAGTCACGCACCCAAGGTCACACAGGCGAGCTGGGATTCGAACCCAGGACCGTATGGTTCCGTATCCTCTGCGGAGAGGCTCTCTCACGCGCATCCCTGCCGGGCTGCGATCCGGTAACCCAAAGGGGTGACTGAGCTCAGCCCCGAGCCGGGGCTCTCGGAGGGGCGTGTCCAAGTCTCTGCGCTGGGACCCCCGCCCCCTGTACCGTCCCGGCCGCGCTGGCCCCGCCGCAGCCGCAGTGCCGGGAGAAGCCGGCCCCTCGACTGGACTCCAGGCCCGGGACGGCTGAGCCCAATCCCACTCCGCGTCCAGCCGCCGCGCGCACCACAGGCACCTGCAACCCTGTCAGATCCAGCCGCCGCACACATACCCAGAACTCCAGACGCCGGGGCTGCAGGCTCGCCCTCAGGCGGGGGCCTCTTGCCACGCTCGCCCTCCAGGGACGTGCCCCCGGCGCTGGAGGTTCCTTCGGCCATGGCGAGCGCAGGCCAGGTCAGGGGCTGCGGGCAGCCGGAGCGCCTGGGGGCCGCGGGATCATCGGGCCGGTGCAGCCGCGGAGCGAGCTGGAGGTGGAGACAAAGGCCGCGCCCGCCCGCGCCGGCCGCCGTCCCCGCGTGCCCGAGCGCTGCTTCTAGTCTCCGCCCGCGCGGAACCTCGATTCTCCTTCTCGTCCCCGCGCACGTCGCTCTTGGGTTCTCGACTCCGCCCGTGTTGTTTTCTAGATTCCGTTCTCGCCCGCCCACTTCGCTTTCTGCTGCTCGTCTCCGCCCGCATCGAAGATGCAGTCACCAAGGATGTGTCCCCGCCCGCGTCGAATTCTGGGTCTCGTCCCCGCCCGTCCCGGGACTGGATTCTCCGCCTTCCAGCCTTAGTTTTCCCCATCTACAAAGGCGCGGTTTGGAATCTTGCGTTGGGCGTGATTTGACGAGGGCAGGACGTGGGAGGGGGAGGGCCTGATTGGGGGAGATTCCAGGTAGCAATAACTTCACAGCTAGAATACAAATTAATAAATGAAGCACGTCCAGCCTCAGGGCCTTAGCATGTGCACTCCTCACGCCCTCTCCGTCCAGTTAACCCCTGCTCCCCTCAGGATGTAACCTCCTCAGAGAGGACCCCATAGATCTTCCAAGTTTAGCAAATAAAAGTACAGCCCTCCCACTGTATGAATGAATTTCAGACAAACGAATACACTTTTGGGATGTCCCAAATATTACATGGGACATAGTTACACCAAAACCTTATTTATTGTGTATCCGAAATTCACATTTAACTGGGCGTTCTGTATTTTATCTGCACCCAGACCCCTGACCGTCCTGAGTAGCCTTTTCTGTTAGACTGAGAGCCCAGAGAGGCCAGGAGCCCCTTCTGGTTCTTAGCGCACACAGTAGGCACCTGATGTATACTTATGACAGATGGAACAATTCGGAGAAGGTGAGTTTTCGCGTCTGTCACTCTCTGACAAATGAAAAAGTTGAGCGGGTCGAGGCAGGGATTAGAACTCCAGCGGGTCCGACAGATTCTTCCCCAAGCGCAAGTGCGTCGCCCGCCCGCTCCGTCCAAGAACCAGAGAATTGTCCGTGCGAAAGCGCCCGCGGAGACCCCGCCCAGCCAGTGTCTAGAATTCCACCATCAGCGCTTTATTCCGCTATTCTGCGCTGTCCTGGGTTAACCTGAAAGAAATCCCTGAGACTCCCCTTTCTGGCTTTCGGGGAGCCAGAGACAGACCGGACACTCAGCTCTGCAGGAGCAGGCCTGGGCCAGGAAAGGCCAGAGGGCAGAGAGGGCTGTACTGGGGATTCCAGAAAGGTGTCCTGTCGGAGGGGACCTTGGAGCTAGGTCCTGAGGATGAGTTTGTCAAATGAAGAAGAGTATCCGGGGAGGAGGGAACGGCGGGAGGGAAAGCTGGGGGAGGGGGCGAGAAACAGGGGGAGTTCTGGGAACACAGGTAGGAATCGTCCCAGAAATTTGAACAAGATTTTACTAGGGCCAGGGCGTGGGTATCCCGGAACTCATCCCTCTCCGCCCCTGAGATGCTCTTGCTTCGCCTAAAGCTACGAAGTGGCCAGATGGAAAATACGGGGCTGGAACCCTCGCCTCGGTGTAATTCCCACGGCCCTGGGCCAAGCCCCGTTCTTCCTCCCACCCCTCATTTCCGGTGTCTGGGATACCCGCGGTTCTAGGATCCTAAAAATTCGGTCTAATGTTGCCGGGGGAACGCCATTTCGCTGCACCCCCGCGTCCAGCCCCTTCCCCGCCTCTTTCCCTGCCACTGGCCAATAGAAACGAAGATCTTCAGAGGGTGGGCCGTACGCCTCCTAAGGAGCCCAATGATAATCGAAAGTCGTTAAGCACTTTGCCAGTCACGCCGCGGAGTGGGTGGAGCCTCCTGTCAGGACTAGAAGCCGCCCAGGCAGAGAGGGTAGGCGGGTCGCTGGTTGTGAATCCATGTGGCGGGGGTTGTGGACCCTAGTAGCCCGGGCCGCACGTGGGCCTCGCAGGTGGGGCGATACGGGAAACGGGTGTCACAGCGTGGGGTGCTGCTTGGGCTTCAAATCCTCTTCCTAGGATCTGGGTCCCAGTTCCCTGGGGGCAGAGCCACCTTTCGCATTTTCCCAAGCCCCAATCCGTTCATCCCTCTGCCGCAGAGCCCACATCTGGGTCATCTGTTGGCCTCAGAGTACCCATTCGGATCACACTTCGACATCAGCGCCCTCACCCTCACAATATATCCATCCCCCTGTCGCAGACCTACATCTGGGTCAACTTCTGTTCCCGGAGACCTTAATCGGGTCACCGTCTGGCCTCAGACGCTCCATTCTGCCCATCCCCCAGCTAAGAACCTCCACCGGGGCCATCTTCCGAACATCGAGCGCCCTATCCACGTGCCACTCGGCAACAGACCCTCCCAGAGGCACTGATTCTTTCCCTCTCCAGTCCCAGATCGTGCGCGCGCCAGGGCAGCGGCGCCCCGGCCCCCGGATCCGGGGCCACTATCTTCGCGCTGAGCTCCGGCCAAGGCCGCTGCGGCATCGCGGTGATCCGGACCAGCGGTCCCGCCAGCGGCCACGCCCTCCAGAGCCTCACGGCACCCCGGGACTTGCCCCCGGCTCGCAGCGCTTGCCTGCGCCTGCTCAGCCACCCCCGTTCCGGGGAGCCGTTGGACCGCGCGCTGGTGCTCTGGTTCCCAGGTGAGGGGTTCCAGATCCAGAACCTACTGTAGCTCTCATGACCCAGTTTCCTCTCCCCCACCCCCCAGGCGTTTGCCTAGCGTACTCTCCTCGACTCTCATCTCGCCACACTAGGTCCCCAAAGTTTCACGGGGGAGGACTGTGCGGAATTCCACGTGCATGGAGGCCCAGCGGTGGTGAGTGGCGTCCTTCAGGCCCTGGGTGAGTCTGTAGCCTTGGGTTCGAAGTCTGGCTCTGCCAGTGGACCTGGATGGGGGCCAGGGAGCTCAGGACCCAGTACCTTCCCGCAGGCAGTGTGCCAGGGCTGCGGCCGGCCGAGGCTGGAGAGTTCACCAGGCGGGCATTCGCTCACGGGAAGCTGAGCCTGACCGAGGTGGAGGGGCTGGCAGATCTAATTCACGCAGAAACCGAGGCACAGCGGCGGCAGGCACTGAGGCAGCTGGACGGAGAACTGGGCCACATCTGCCATGGCTGGGCCAAGACTCTCACTAAGGCAAGCCCCCTCTTCGCCCATTCCCTGCCTCAGAGACCTCACCTACCCGTTCGGTGCGTGGGAGCTTCCTGTGCATGCGCCTCCAGTCTGGTCTCTTGGGTCAGGTTCGACCTGGGCCCATTGGGGGGGGGGTGGGTTCCTGGGTTACCCCATCACCACTTCTGCCCCCCCACCCCACCCCTCAGGCTCTGGCTCATGTGGAGGCCTATATCGACTTTGGTGAGGATGACAACCTGGAGGAGGGCGTCCTGGAGCAAGGTGGGTCCTCCTAGGGGTTGGGGACGCCTGGCATCATAGCCCTCGGAGGCCCCACTCCTTCCCCTCCCTTTCTTCCATCCACAGCTGACAGCCAAGTGCGGGAGCTGGAGCTGGCACTGAGCGCACATCTTCGAGATGCCAGGCGCGGGCAGAGGCTTCGCTCAGGAGCGCACGTAGTGGTCGCAGGACCCCCCAACGCTGGCAAGAGCAGCCTGGTGAACCTACTCAGTGCGTGGGAGGCGGGTGGAGGCGGGGCCTAGTGTCGGGGGCGGGGCCGGGAGGAGTGAGGAGGATGAAAATTTAGTTCAGCAGGGAGGTTCCATGGTTTCCACCCCGCTCTCTTCGTGATAATATCCACCCCCAATCCCGTCCCAGGCCGGAAGCCTGTGTCCATAGTATCCCCGGAGCCGGGTACCACCCGCGACGTGCTGGAGATCCCCGTGGACCTGGCCGGATTCCCCGCGCTGCTGAGCGACACGGCGGGGTTGCGTGAGGGCGTGGGGCCTGTGGAGCAGGAGGGCGTGCGGCGCGCCAGGGAGAGGTAGGCTGATAGGGTGGTGGGATGGGGAAACAGCTCCTCCACTTCCATTTTGCCTTGCTGCAATTATTTTGTGTCCCTCCTGAATCAGGAAAACCTGCTGAGGCCTCTTGAGTGGGGGCGAGCCGAGGTTTAAATTCAGCCCCTGTTCCTGCCCCTCCCCTCTTGGTTTGCCCCGCCCCCATGTACCAAGCCCCACCCATCTTGCCCCGCCCCCACCCACGTGCCAAGCCCCGCCCCTCTGGTCACCCCCAACCCCCATGCCTTTGCTCAACTCCGGGGTCACTTGGTTGGTTCTCCCTGTTCCCCCAGGCTGGAGCAGGCTGACCTCATTCTGGCGGTGCTGGATGCTTCTGATCTCGCCTCTCCGTCCAGCTGCAACTTCCTGGATACCGTTGTCGCCCCCGCAGGCGCTGGGAGCCGCAGTGAGAGCAGCCAGCGCCTCCTGCTGGTGCTGAACAAATCGGACTTACTGCCTCCAGGGGGCCCAGACCCCAGTCCCAACCTGCCCCCGCACCTGCTGCTGTCCTGCTTGACGGGACACGGCTTGGATGATCTCCTGGAAGCACTGAGGAAGGAGCTGGCTGAAGTGTGAGCGGCTCCCCCGCCCCGCCCCGCCTCTGCCTGTCCCTGTCGCTCAGCCTGCCTCAACCCAAGTTCAAGTCAGGGCTGAGCCACTGGCTTGGGCTGCCTACCCGCCCCCCAAGGCTCATTTTCTGGATCTACAAAATGCAAGTGATGATCCCCCTTCAATGGTAGTTGAGAAAGTTGAGAAAGATCGCATCTTTTTTCCCTTCCAGGTGTGGGGACCCGTCCACAGGCCCACCGCTTCTGACGCGTGCAAGGCACCAACATCATCTCCAGGGCTGCCTGGATGCCCTCGGCCACTACAGGCAGACAAAAGACCTAGCCCTGGCTGCTGAGGCGCTGCGACTTGCCCGGGGTCACCTGGGCCGCATCACCGGCGGAGGCAGCACCGAGGAGATCTTGGACATCATCTTTCGGGACTTCTGCGTGGGCAAGTGAGAAGCCCTGAGGCATGTGGGAATAGCTTAGGCCAAGTGAGAATCTCATCTCCAGGAGAAAACTTGACCCCAGAACCATGAACCAGAGTGCTGCCTTGAGAGGTGGTGAGCTCCTTGTTGCTGGCAGTGACTAAGCTACGGCCAGCCGTGCTAGGGGTTCCAGCCCTGGAGTGGAGCTCAACGGAGGTCCCTTTGGCTTCCTGTGCTGGGGGAGTAGGAGTGGACGGTTGGGATGGGGTGGGAGGGCCTCAGGGATCTTTGTTTTGCGTTTTTTAATTTACTTTGCAAATACTAAAGGAATATAAAAAAATTCAGGTGATTCAGAAATGCTTAAACATGGAAATCCC